ATAAAAATCGTATGATCGTCTCAATAGATGCAGACGACGCATTTGACAAAATTCAGCATCTTTTCATGATAAACACTCTCAACAAATCGGGTATACAAAGAATGTACCTCATAATAAAAGCTGTATATGACAAGCACACAGCTAACATCATACATAACAGCGTAAGGCTGAAAGCTTTCACTCTAAGATCAGGAGCAAGACAGGAATGCCCACTGTCACCATTTCTTTCACCATGATACTGGAAGTCTTAGCCAGAATAATTAGGTAAGAAAAAAAAAATAGTAAAAGGCAGGGTGCCTGGGTGGCTCAGTCGTTAAACGTCTGCCTTCATCTCAGGTCATGATCCCAGGGTCCTGGGATCGAGCCCCACATCAGGCTCCCTGCTCAGCGGGAAGCCTGCTTCTCCCTCTCCCACTCCCCCTGCTTGTGTTCCCTCTCTCGCTGTCTCTCTCTCTCTGTCAAATAAATAAAAATAAAATCTTTTAAAAAAATAGTAAAAGGCATCCAAATCAGAAAGGAAGAAGTAAAATTGTCTCTGTTTACAGGTGGCATGAACTTACATATAGAAAACCCTAAATATTTCACCAAAAAACTGTTAGAACCAATAAATTTGGTAAAGTTGCAGGATTAAAAATCAACATATAAACATCAGTTCTGTTTCTATGCAGTAACAATATATATCCAAAAACGAAATTAGTAAAACAATCCCACTCACAATAGCATCAGAATGGGTGAAATAGGCAATGGGTATTAAGGAGGGCACTTGTGATGAGCATTGGGTGTTATATGCAAGTGATGAGTCACTAAATTCTACAACTGAAACTAATATTACACTGTATGTTAACTAACTGGAATTTATTTTTTTCAAGATTTTATTTGTTTATTTGAGAGAATGAAAGCATGAATGGGAGGGACAGAGAGAGGAGAGAGAATCTCAAGAGACTCCATGCTGAGCATGGAGACAAACGCGGGGCTCAAGCCCAGGACCATGAGATCGTGACCTGAGCTAAAACCAAGAGTTGGACGCTTAACCAACTGTACCACCCAGGCACCCCACTAACTGGAATTTAAATAAAAACTTGGAAAGGAAAAAAAATTTAATAAAATACTTAGAAATAAATTTAAATAAGGAGATGAAAGACTGGAACTAAAACTATAAGACACTGATGAAAGAAATTAAAGAAGACACAAATAAACAAAAAGATATCCTGTGTTCATAGATAGGAAGAATTAATATTGTTAAAATATACATACTACTCAAAGCAATGTACAGATTCAATGCAATCCCTATTAAATTTCCAATGGCATTTTTCACAGATAATAGAAAAAATAATAATCCTAAAATTTGTATGGAACCACAAAAGATTCTGAAGAGCTAAAGCAATCTTGAGCAAGAAGAACAAAGCTAGTAGCATCTAACTTCCTGACTTCAAATTATATTACAAAGCCATAGTAACCAAAACAGTATAGTACTTGCATAAAAACAGACACATAGACCAATGGAAAAGAATATAGGGCTCAGAAATAAACTTATGCATATACAGTCAAATAATTTTCTTTTTTTTTTAAGATTTTATTTATTTGACAGAGAGAGACACAGTGAGAGAGGGAACACAAGCAGGGGGAGTGGGAGAGGGAGAAGCAGGCTCCCCGCGGAGCAGGGAGTCCAATGCGGGGCTCTATCCCAGGACCCTGGGATCATGACCTGAGCCGAAGGCAGATGCTTAACGACTGAGCCACCCAGGCGCCCCTACAGTCAAATAATTTTCAACAAAGGCGCCAAGAATACCCAATGGGGAAAGATAGTCTTTTCAAAAAAATAGTGCTGGGAAAACTGGATATCCACAGACAAAAGAATGAAAAAGGGATTAAAGACTTAACTATAAGACCTGAAACTGTAAAACACCTGGAAGAAAACGTAAGAAAAAAGCTCCCTGACATTGGTCTTGGTGATTTTTTTTGGATTATGACACCAAAAACAAAAATAAACAGGCGGGGTTATGTCAAATTAAAAACCTTCCACACAGTAAAGGAAACATCAACAAAACGAAAAGGCAACTTGCAGAATAGGAAAAAATATTTGTAAACCACATATAGGGGTTTACAAATATCTAATAAGGGGTTAATGTCCAAAATACATAGGAATCCATACAACTCAATAGCCAAAAACAAATAACCCAATTTAAAAAAATGGGCAAAGGACCCGAATAGATATTTTTTCAAAAGGATATACAGATGGTCAATAGGTACATGAAAAAGTGCTCAACATCATTAATTATTAGGGAAATGCAAATCAAAACCACAAAGAGACATCACATCACACCTGTTAGGACGTCTATTATCAAAAAGACAAAAGATGCCAAGCATTAGCAAGGATGGGAAGAAACTGGTCATTGGCATGGAACGTAGCTAGCTTCCTTCAACCACTACGGATTTTTTTTTTTTTTTTGGTTTTGGCTTTGTTTTATGGGGGTTTTTTTGTTTGTTTTTTTAAATTAACATATAATATATTATTTGTTTCAGGGGTACAGGCCTGTGATTCATCAGTCTTGCACAACTCACAGCGCTCACCATAGCACATACCCTCCCCAGTGTCCATCCCCCAGCCACCCCGTCTGTCCAACCCCCCTCCCCTCCAGCAACCCTCAGTTTGTTCCCTGAGATTAAGAGTCTCTTCTGGGTTGTCTCTCTCTCTGGTTTCGTCTTATTTCATTTTTCCCTCCCTTCCCCTATGATCCTCTGTCTTGTTTCTCAAATTCCTCATATCAGTGAGATCATATGATACTTGTCTTTCCATGATTGACTTATTTCGCTTAGCATAACACCCTCTAGTTCCATCCATGTCATTGCAAATGGCAAGATTTCATTTTTTTATGGCTGCATAATATTCCAGTGTGTGTGTGTGTGTGTGTGTGTGTGTGTGTGTGTATGTGTGTATACAACACATCTTCTTTATCCATTCATCTGTTGATGGACATCTAGGCTCTTTCCATAGTTTGGCTATTGTGGACATTGCTGCTATAAACATTGGGGTGCACGTGCCCCTTCGGATCACTACATTTGTATCTTTGGGGTAAACATCCAGTCACTACTACGTTTTTTTGAGCTCGCACTTATGTTTTAAGAGGTGCCAGGGGTACATTTTGCACTGAAATCTAAAGATTTCACTTAAATCTTCACTTAAAAAAACACTTCACAAAAATAGTCTTTGTCACTACATTATTTACTCATGTGTTTGTACATTTCTGTTAATTTATGAGTGATTTTTTTTCAGTAAAAACACACATGTTCAAGAACCACAAAAAAAACCCCCAATGTTCACAGCAACATTATTCATAATAGCCCAAAAGTAGAAACAACCCAAAGGTCCATCAACTAATGAATGGATAAACATCATGTATAATTCTATTTATATGAGATATCGATAATGTGCAAATCCATAGGGACGGAAATTAGATTAGTGGCTCCCAGAGGTGTGGCGGGAGAAGGAAACTCCAATGGGGACAGTTTCTCTTTGTGGTGAGGAGATCTCTGGAAGTAACAGTGACGGTGGTTTGCACAAGGCGTTGAGTATCCTAAAAGCCGCTAAACTGTACACTTTAAAAGGATGAATTTTATGTTATGTGAATTGTATTTCAATTTTTTTTTCTAGTCTGTTGAATGAATCTGGCATGTGGTTGAAAAAGGCTGCGGACCAGAGGGCTGGCGAGTAGAAGTCATGCGCTCCCCCTGTCGTGGCCCTGGCCCCAGTCATCTCTCGGGGGTCCCACTGCAACAGCCTCTTCCTGTCTGTCACCCCCAAACCCACCTTTACAAGTGTCCCACTGCCCACCTGCAAGGAACCATGCCTTTTTATTTTCTCCATGTTTTGACTTCTGGGACCTTGCTGAGCCGAGAGAGACTGGCCCTCCCAGGGATGTCCAATTCCTAAAGATACTAGAGGACTCACCCGCAAGTGTGCCTTTCATTTGCAAACCAGCCAATCCAAAATACTCGGATCACTTCCTCTATCTAGTTCTGACTGTCCACCTGCCCTCCTCACCCCAGGGCCAGGCGTCAGACAACTAGAGAGCCCCTGTGCCCCAGAGCCTGCAGACATGATTCAAACCAGCCCATCCTACACCTGCTTCCCCTGCCTGGCCTTACCTGCGCCCAGCAAACCACAAGGCCAGCGCTGGGCCCTGGCTCCCTCCGCCCCCTGACGGGCCCTGGTGCTTCCCCATGAAGCCCCGCCCGGCGTGTCCCGCTCCCTGTGAGTAAAAACTTCTTGGGGCAACGTCGTCATTTCCACATTATCCATATGATCCAGGTGTTACCGTACCTGATTCAAACGAAGCCCGAGCACATACTGAAACACCACCCTTCAAATCTGCTTCCGCCTCCCTCTCCCCCCTCCCCAACTTTTCTCCCCCCGACACTCGCCAAGCTGTGTAGCCTCTGTAGCCCGCCCCATACATCTCCACCTTCCTGTGCACGTCCCATTCCCATCATCATGCCCTTACGTAGGCTCGGACCTCCGTCTGGGGCACCCTCTCCCTCACCCGCCCTTCGCCTCCGTTGTTCCTGTGCCCGCATCAAGCTTCACTTCGTCATGCTGCCTCCGGAAGCCCACCGGGATAGCCACTCTGTACTCCCAACAGGAGTGGTACTTTCTCCCTCAAAGCCGGGAGCCTGCGTGTCTTGTCTCCCGCCCGGCCCGGGAGTTCCTCCAAGATAAGCACGGTGATCCCTCAATTCTGGGTGCCCAGAGGTTAGCACAGAGCCAGTAGAGTACTGGTAACGCAATCAATATTTTTTAGTGTAAGAAATCTCCTCCATAGACATATAAATAAGCTCTCGGCGGTCGGAGCCCTCACCCTCTGGGTCCTTAGCAGGGCCCCGCGCAGAGTGTGTCCTGCGTAAAGGCCTGGGGCGGAAGGCGTGAACCGGTAGGTGGAAGGATGACGGAGCAGATAAGCAGCGGGAGGAGAGCGGGTGGGGCCACAGGCCGGTCTACTCACGCTGTTCCTCCCACTCACGCTCCTCGCTCTCGCTGGCGTGGCTCTGCAGCTGGGCCTGCTTCAGGGTCCAGTAGAGTTCCTTGGCCCTCTGCTCTTCCCGGAGGCGAATCTGCTCCTCTCCTCGCTTCCTCTCCTCTTCCTCTTTCCTCTAAAATATCATGGGGACAGAAAGACGTTAGGTTACGAGAGAGAAGTGCCCCTGTGACTCTGGGGCAGGGCTGTGCTGTGGCGGCGTGGGGTGGGCCAGGGCTGGCGGCTCAGGTGTATTCTCTGACACAGGAAATGGCCATAGTCAGGGAAGGATCCAACGGGTTAAAATCCGGGGAACAGGGGCACCTACGTGGCTCAGTCGGTTAAGCTACCAACTCTTGGTTTCAGCTCCGGTGGTGATCTCAAGGTCGTGAGATCGAGCCCTGTGTTGGGCTCCCCACTGAGCGTGGAGTCTGTTTGAGCTTCTCTCCCTCACCGTCTCCCTCTGCCCCTCCCTCCCTAAAATAAATAAATAAATCTTAAAAAAAAAATGTGTGTGGAATAATTTGTAGACCCCAAAGCTTTCTGCAAAGATAAGAGGAGGCTGGGCCATCCTTGGCCACACTTGCATTCTGGGGAAGACGGAGGGTAGGTACCACTCCTTCTGGAGGCCAATTAAGCAGGATATGATCATGTCTTAACCTTCTGTCTGGATAAGATATTTCCAAGACAAGCAGATTTCGGGGGACCCACATCTCCAATTGTCACACTTTGAAACTCCAAAAAGCTGTGTGTGTGTGTGTGTGTGTGTGTATTTCCCTCTACCTTTGTTCACATCAAAGTAACCGGCAGGTGTCGAACATGCATTATATGCTATAGGCTCATTTTCAGAACCAGCAATTCTCCAGACCACGTCACCCCAAACTACCCACCCTCACCCAGTGCCCAGAGGCCACCATTCTCAGTTATTTTAGCTGTTCCTTCATGTGGTGACATCTCTGTCTGAATCACGCAGCTAATTTTTTTATTTATCAATTCTAGACATTAAACTACTGCCTTTCCTTTTTGGTACATGAGTATTTGACACTTATGTTTGCCACACAGGTACACGCCCAGACTTTTCCTCTCCTCCTCCTTAGCATGTCAACATCAAAATTTGTGGTGAAATCAATAATCGGTGTAAATACGGTTCACTGCAAAGCCAAAGTAGGGCGCTGTTTTCACCAATGATAAGAAGTACGTTTTGTAACTTTCTAACATAATGTGGGTGTGTCTCAAGACTTGCAAGTTGCCTTTTTAATAGGCAACAGTTTTTTCTTTCTTCTTAAAATGATGATTAATAAATCAATACTTAACTAATATGGCATCTTATATTCAGTAAAATATGGTAGTACGATGGCTTTTTCTTTCCTGAGTTCGTAATCGTTTTATCCTGAAGTTGCATATTGAATTTTCCCAACTTCTCTAAGATCTGTCGTAAATCTTTCTCTGTGTTTATTATTTTAACAGATAAACAGCAGTTATCTTTTTTCAGGGGTCGCCACTACCCCAGATGCCAGCCTTCCTTCTTCTCCCATCTCGGTTGGTTGTTACCTGGCTCTCCGGGTAACCACCCGGGGACCACCCACTCCGTCCATCCACCTGGGGACTCGTTTCTCAGCCCTCCTCCAGTTGAAGCTCTTGTTTCTTTGTTCCACGTTCTTTTCTGGCCACTTCGTCATTTTGCAACAACATAGCTAGCAGGACTTCTCAAGTATGGACGCACAGGGAGACACCCTGAGTCTTGTCTGAAGACATCTATATGCTGCCTTCAGATATAACTGCTAATTTGGCTGAGCATAGAATTCAATTAAAAACCACTTTCCTAAAGCAGAATTTGGAAGACTCTACCTCCCAGCATCCAATACTGCCACGTGGATTCTCAGTCTTCTGCATGAGACATTAATTTTTCTCTCTATCGCTGATGTTCTGAACATGGTTAAATGATGTGCCTTGGTGGGGATTTTCTTTCATTGATTGTGCTAGGCATGCAAGGAGCTTTCTGCCTGAAGTCTCAGATCTTTCCAGGCTGATACACCTTGGCTTAGAATTTCTTGGGTAATTTCTTCTCCTCTCATTGTTTTTCTTTCTAGAACTCCTGCTTGTCAAATTCTGGACTCCTTGACTTGATCCTCTAGGCGGCTTAGCATTTCTCTCTTATTTTCTCTTCCCTGCCTTTGCTGTTCTACTTCCTGGTTGATTCACTGACTTTATTGTCTAAACCGACTACTACATTTTTTATTACAGATTGCATTTGTAATTCCTAAAGCCCTCCTTCTTATTCTTCGGTTGTTCCTTTTTGCTTCATTGCACCCTGTCCTGGTTTCAAGAGTGTAATGTTTCATCTCTGAGGACTTTAGAGCTTTCTCCCCCACCCTCCCCCATATTCTGATTTAGGTCTATTTCCTCTGTTTTTTGCTTTTTTTTCCCCTTTAAAGTATGTTTTATGTGTTGCCTGTCATTGGTGTTGGAGGCTTTTCTCAGATGTCTCATGTTTCCTGGCTGTCCATATTCAAGACAGGAAATAACGGTCCGAACGGGAGACTCAGAGGGTGTAGACAGGACTTCCCCGGGAAGTGGGCTTCACGCTAGGATGACTGGATGAGGAATCAGCCATTTCGCTGAGGAAAATACTCAATACTCCAGTGTAAGTGTAAGTATCTAGAGGTCCTTTGTCTGAGATTATTCCGTGTCTTCTCCTCTATCCTACTAGGTGGAGTCCGAGCACCAGCACACCGAAATCTGTGGGGGAGGCAGGCTGCAGGCAAGACAGCCCTGAGACCTTAGCTAACAGAACCCCTAGCTTGCGTCCCACATTTCATAGGAACACCATGCCTTGAAATGCCTTCTTTGCAAATATCCCCCTCAGGTGTCCGCCAGGAAAGGCCAGAAAGAGTCCTCCCAGGATTGGCAGGGGCAGCAGTGGTATCCAGGTAAGGTACCCTAAGTCCAGACCAGGTCCTGCATGAGCCCCAGTCCCTTGTTTCTCCCCCTCAGGGTGTTCTCTGACCCTCTCCTTCATGAAAGGGGTTAACCATATGGCCCCAGGAGCTCCAAGACACATATTTATGGAATCATCCTGAAGTCTAGTGGCCAGGCCACGTTTCCAGGGGGGTGGCCTAGCAAGCCTACAAACCCTGCCAGTAGGCACCGTATTTTTATCGCAGCATTGCATGAGATTGGGTTACCAGAAAAGACCTAACAGGCTGATTTCATGTGGCTCAAATTGATAATTTATGATAAGAAAAGACACCATGCAAAAATACTTGCCCGCCCTGTCATCCCAGAGGCAGCCCAGGCTGCAGGTTCTATGGCTCAGGTTACTCACTGCTTAAAGTAAGACCTTTCCTTAATCCTCCTGTTTCCCATGTGTCCCTTGCCTGCTCTCGCCATTCAGCCTGACACACTGAGCTCTGAGCCTCTGCCCACTCCCCATCTCCTTCAGCGCGGAGGGAGGGATGTAGTAGCCTGGATGAAAATGGGGACGTGAGGGTCCAGCCATTCCACAGAGAAACTGGTCGCCAACCTGAGCTCCCTGCTTCACAGTCCCTGGTGCCTCTAGGTCCCGAGCCCATGGGGACCCAGACTGAGCCAGCTCACCCACCCACCCCCTTCCTGCAGGAGCCCCACTGAACCTCACCACTCTGTCTTCCAGCCTTCAAACCTCAGCGAACATTTTCTTATCTGTTCCCTCTTCTCATTTTCTCTCTCCTGGTGCTTTGGAAATTTTTCAGTCCTTTCCTACTATTTAAATGGACCAACAAGAGTCGGGGTGGAGAGGAGGTAACTGAGTTTTTAATCCCTCATTTAATAAAAAAAAGACAAAGTTTTTTCTTTCTTCTGAAACAGTATAGATTAAGGATTTTTTACTAATTCAAAAATCAAAGTTTTAGTCTGAAAAAATAGGCAGAATTCCCACTTCCTAATGAGTCACTCTCAAGAGTTGGGCATGAGGACAAAAGAAGCTGAGTGGCTTCACGCGTCACTCACCAAATACTTACAGAGCACACAGAGGCTCAGGCCTGCATCGGGCTCTGGGGACACAGCAGTGGCCAGGACACATGCAGGCCCCACCTCCGCGCTTACCTTTCCAGGGGGCGAAACACACCAGACAAATAAAAATCAGGAAATATCAGAAGATAATAACCAGTGTGCAGAGAATTAAAACAGGAAAAAGAACAGAGAGAATTTAGGATGCTACTTTAGGCTGGGTGACCAGAAGTCCTCTCAGAAGGGCCGATGTGATCTGACAACTGAATAGTAAGGAAGAACGCCGATAAGTAAGTTTGGGGGAGAAGAAATTTCCAGGCAGAGAAAAGCACAAGCACAATGGACCCAGCATTGCAAATGAGCTTGGCATGTTTGAGTATAGAATCATCTACTGTGGTTGGAAGAAGAAAAGTCAAAATTCTATATTTGATGAGTTCGAGATGCCATCTGACATCCCAGAGGCCTGCCATCAGTAGCAGGATGCGGGAGCCTGGGGCTGAAGGGCAAGTTCAGCTGAAGATACTGGTTCAGAAGTCATCTGCGTAGGGATGAAGTTTCTCAGCCACAGGACCTAATGCTATCACTGAGAGAAAGAATGCAGATCCAGAGGAAACAACCAGAAATAAGGTACGGAGATGAAAGTACAGCATAGGGAATATAGTCAATAAAACCATAATAACGTTGTAGGGTGACAGATGGCGGGTGACTCCACTTACCGTGGTGAGTACTGCGTAATGCAGAGAATTGTTGAATCACTATGTTGCACACTTGAAACTCATATAACGCCGTATGTCAATTATGCTTCAACAATAACAATAAAAGAGAGAGAGAGAGAGAGAGAACAACCAGAGTGTCTTGGGCCACTCCACCATTTAAAAGTTGAGAGAAAGAGCAGGAACCAGGAAAGGAGGCTGAGAAGGAAAGCCAACAGATAAGCTAAAAACCCAGAAGGGGTGATGTCTGTTGGGGAAACCAAGAAAGAACATTTCAAGTAAAAGGGAGTGGTAAACTGAGCTGCAGGCCCTGAAACATCACAGAAGATAAGGACAGAGAAGTGACAGGACGGCAGGCAGGTCGTGGCCTCAGGACATGATGGGAGAGCTGCCCGGTGGGGTGGAGGGGCAGCCATCCAGGCGGCATGGGGGAGGG